TCACCTCTGGGGGGAGAGTATTCCATAGGGTGGGGGCAACGGCAGAGAAGGCTCTCCTCCTGGGCCCCACCAGTCGACATTCGCTCGCTGACGGGATCCACAACATGCCTTCTCTGCCAGACCGGGTGGGACGGGTCGATGGAATGGGGGTCCTTAAAAATCCTTAAAAGGGGATGTGGGACTCAAGATACCAAGTCTGTGGACTCAGAAAAGTGATGCTTCTTGTAGTCCGTTAGATGTCTAGATCTTTTTCCACGGCTCCTCCTGAATGTGTTTGCAGGAAGAAGATATGGCGGAGTTAGCTTCTCAGCAATACTACGTGGATTATGGGTCTGAAATGGTCCTGGAGCGCCTCCTGAATTTGATTCCTTCTTACATCCCTGATCGAGAGATCACACCTTCCAAAACCATTGAGAAGTGGGCTCAGTTTATCATAGCTGCCCATAAAAAGGTAAAGCGGGTGGATTTCCTTTGCAACAGGAGTGACAGAAGGTAGGAAAGGTCCAGGTGAAGCTGTCTACAGGGGGAGGTCAGAAAAGAACAGATGTGGTTGTAATTGAGCAGTCAAAGTCCCAGCCCCTTTTAGGCAGGTAAAAAGGGGCAAATTTCCAGGAGTTGGATGGAGTTGGGCATCATCCAAATTGAATGAAATAAATGCATAAATAAATAGTTGTGTGGTTTTGGATGACATCTTGACTTTTTTGACACACATACACCCCATGGATGCCTCTTTTCACAGGTCATGCTAAGCCTGAGTTTCTCAATCTCAGCAACTTTAAGATGTGTGGCCTTCAACTCCCAGAATTCCCCAGCCAGCAAGTGTGGACTTCAGCTCCCAGAATTGCTAGCTGGGGAATTCTGGGAGTTGAAGTCCACGCATCTTTTAAAAAAAAACATGTATTTATTATTCATTAAAAAAAAAGATTGAACAAATAAGCAAAAGGAGAAAAGAAAAACAAAGGGAAAGATATTGATTGGTACAGAAATGTAATATCTGTAAGCGGACAAAGGAATTACCAAGATTGTACAGTTGGTGCTCAGTGTATCTTTAATTATACATTTCTCTTGAATTTCTCTTTGTGGTATTTTTGAACTGGCTCTTCAGGAGGCAGGGACTGTCGATGTTTCCTGTTTTCTGTTGTGCATCCTTCCAGGTGTTTTCCAACATATGTTTAAACACTGTGGAATGGACTTGCTTGCTTTACAGATGTTAAATTAGTACAATAGCACTAAAGAATATAAAGCAGGATTCTTTTCCATACTAATCCGTGCAAAACGGTTACCAAGATGTTTTTTTCTTTCACCTTTTCTTTTCTTTCCAGGGAATCTATACCCAAAAGAGGATGGATCCTAAAAGAGTCAAAGAAGAAGTCGTGGATTTTGCTCGTTTTAAGTGGCCTTTATTATTCTCCAGGTTCTATGAAGCGTTCAAGTTTTCAGGTAAGCCAAAATCTTCCCATCGCTTGAAGATGGCAAATTCACAAGCACTGTTGCACAGCAGGTATTGGTCACTTAGTGCAATTAAGTTGGCAACCTTTTCTGACTACGAGTGCTCTTCTGCAGGTGTTTGGGAGGCCTCAAGAACTTTCTCCTCAAATCGCAAAATGCTGCAAGATTTCAGTCATCTTCCAAGAGTTTTTAGAGTTTTAAAAGACTGCTTTGTTTTCTTGACCTCTGTCCTCTACCTTCCTTTTGCATGTTCCTCAACACACTAAGTCTGCAGTAGTTCAGGGGGGATATTTTAAGGTATTTGGATGGAATGTAGAGACATAACTGCTTCTCCTGGAAAATCAGTCTTGGAGATTTCTAAAGCAGCTTGTTTGCGAGAGGAGAGATCAGTTGTGGAGAGCACGTGATGGCCAACACCAAGGATGTTCCCACATCTCCTCCAGTCCCCAAACCAGTTTTGCATAATATTTTAAATGTCTGCAGTAGGAAGATGAGGATGATTGGGTCTACTGAAGATTGTCAAAACGGACCTATAGATAAGAGAATCTAGAGGTGCCACTTGAAATATCCTCATATTTCTTGATAGGCTTTCCAAAAATCTTCCTTGGAATGGCTTCTGTATATTTATAGAAGTCATGCCTGGCAGACTTCTATAAATATATTTATAGTCATAATTTGCAGACCTTTACCAATCTGTTTATATTTACAGTCCTGATGATTTGCAGACCTTTCTACTGTAAATATATTTCAAAAGTCACCAGGGTCAGAATCAAAGGAAGTGAAGTATGAGAGCCGAGATTTAGATGGCTATTTTGGAGATGTTGCTGCTTGGGAAAGAGGCAAACCACCCTTCCTTGTCACGAGATGGGCTGGGTCAAGACCAAGCAAACAAGCCTGCCTTTCCTTCAGGTTCTCCTGCATCTCTTTCCAACACCAGGTCCCAGCCTCCCCCAGAACGAACTGATTGTAGCGGTGAACTGGACAGGGGTCTACTTTGTAGATGAACAAGAACAAGTTCTCCTGGAATTTTCCTTCCCAGAGATAACTGCTGTCTCCAGCAATAGGTAAGGCCCAAAAGACCAGGTAATCAATAACTGCACGAACAGTGCCCTAAGGCAGTGTTAATCAACCTCGGCCATTTTTAAGACAAGTGGCCACAGCGTGTGATCAAAGCCCTGCTCTTTTTTACATGCACGGTGCACGCCTCTGCCTTAGCCCCTTCTGTTTTTCTGCCTGTAGCAAATTGGAAATGTCCCCTCGGTTTCTTTATTTTATATAAATATTTCTCTCTCGCCCTTTGTTCATAATGGCCAGGATGGCTTGCAATCTTTTTTTTTTTTTCCAAGAACTTTATTACATTTCAGTAAAAAATAAAATATAGAAAAATCAGGGAAAAGAAAGAAGATGGCAAAGAAAGAAAATACAGAAGAGAAAAAGTAACTTCCGACTTCCTTTGGTACAGGCACAGATATAAAATACATTCACCTCTGACGCTAATATTTAAAAAGCTACAGAATAAATCTGTATCAGACAAAAATATAAAGGAGATTAATACAAAGTATTTCTATAGTTATAGAATAAATCAGTCATCAAACCCCACAATCCAAATTTCATTTTTTTGAGTCTCAAGTAAAAAGTCCAGGAGTGGTTTCCAAATAGAAGCAAAGGTAGACAATGTCTTTTCTTTAATCAGAATCGTCAATTTCGCCATCTCTGCCCAATTCCATTCTTTGGCTGTAGGTATTTGTAAATCTTTCCATTTTTGCGCATATAAAAGTCTCGCCACGGCTATCATGT